TAATGCTTCATAAGTCCCTTATGCTGGGCAAGAAGCATTCACCTAAGAAGCATTCCCTTAGGAGCTTCCCTCTCTCCTCTCCTCCTTCTCTCTATTTCTTATGTAAATTCTTATATCAATAAGAGAAGTTATTCAGCATCTCCCCTCTTCTTCTCCTTCTCCACCCCCCAAGTAAGTATTCTCTGCTCCCCCTTATGGAGTAGTTTTCTTATAAGGGCGTCCTCGGATGCCTTAAGCTTTATTTATTAAAAGATGCGATAATCATTTAAAGGCTTAAATAATTTTTGTACAGCTTTGTTTGTGTTCATATAAGCTTATGAGGAGATGTCTAACCGGCTATGCCAGATTCAGTCATCTCATAATCTTATCATGGACTTGTGTGTTTATTTTTCCTGTCTTTACTTTTTTGCATTTAATTTCGTTCATGTGTAAGCTTATGAGGAGATGTCTAACCGGCTATGCCAGATTCAGTCATCTCATAATCTTATGGTGAACACTTTTCTTGCTATAACCGACTTTATCTCAGACAGTCTTCATTTTAGCTAGCCCGGTTTCGGGTTCTCTGTGAGCTAAGTAGCCACGTTGACTTACAGAAGAGATAAAGAGTTATAACATGTTTTAATTTATTTGTTTCCTGTCTCTTTACTTTCCTCCTTTCCACTCCTATTTCGGGTCTCGGGCGGTTTATTCTGAGTTCATTCCGATTTTCTCCGTTCTATCGATATATTTTTTAGATGATATATATACATTTTACTATATGTATTTTAATTATATATCTATTGTATGCATAATTTTTTGTTATTATAATGTATAGATTAAAAAAAATAAAAACTTTATTATTTTTTAATTTCCATGAAGATATTTGTTAAAATATACCTTAATTTCTTATTTATGAAAAAGATATATATCGAATAAGAGTATGTGATGTTAGTCAACCTTACCTTAATACAACAATGAAAAATCCTATACAAGATAAATATCTTGAACATTAAATTAACATTTTTTTTAATTTAATTTTCTATTTAGATGAAACATTTCATTAATTTCAAGAAATTTAAGTATATTTAATTTTATTTATTTTTATTTCAAATATTTTTTTTGAATAAAATAATTCAAATATTTTATATAATTTATTTTATTGGATAAAATAAATTTTTAAATATAAAATTCTAATATTAAACTTTACAAAAATAAATATTATTTAATTTTAAGTATTCAAATAATATTTAATAATTAAATTTGTAATATTAGGTAAAATTTAATAATTTTAAAAATAAAAATAAATATTTTAAAAATATATTTTTATAAAATAAATACAGTATTATATTATTAAAATAAATATATATTTTCACGAGAGAATAATAGATGAGTGATTATGAGATGGGAGAGAGAAAGTACGGTAAGTGATTTTTCTTATGAATGGAATTTTAAATTTTTAACTTTTTAGAATATTTTAAATTCTTTTATCTTAATTGTTTGAATTATTTTTTTAAAATTAGAGAATTTTTTTTACCCGAATAAATAATTTACTCTGAAAAAATTATCAAATAAATAAATTACTCCTTTCAATTATCTCATGCAAACATAACATAAGGTTTACATTAAAATAAATAATATATGAGAGACTATAGTTTAATTTTAATCAGGTTTTAATATTTTTTTTATATTTAATTAAAACAAAGAAACTTTCACTTAAAGAAGATTATATCAATAAAGAAAACGCACACTTCATATTAATAAAATGATTTCTTCATTTTTCTCTTTCAAGAACCCTAATAGACATATTTAACAATATTGAATGATAAATTCTAAAATTGTAAGATCTTTCTATATAGAAAACAGAGGAGAAAATCAAATTGAAGTACTGGAAGAGTATAAAATCAAACATTGACTTCACTTTGCTATTGAAATAAGGATATGGAGGAGAAAATTGTAATATATTTAATGTTTCTTTGACAACTTCATGAAAAACATTGAATATATATTCTAGGAAAAATAATTATCGGATTATCAAAATACTCTTTTTAACAACAGTAATTTCAACTATAAAACATATGACTTAAAAAGAAGAAAAACACGAGGGTTTTATTCCCGTTTATACACAATAATTTATTTTAGAAAATTATGTTCAAATTTCATTTTTAACATTTGAGTTATATATATATATATATATATATATATATATATATATATATATATACCTTTTTAAATTTTATTCTAATATATTTGTAAATAACATGTGACATTTTGAAGAAAAGGCGACTTTTTTTACTGTGGTGATTTTTAAAACATGTTACATTTTAATATTTTAAATATTCATATGTATATTTATTGAAAATGTCATTTTATTTTAATATTTTAAAATATTTTATTATAAATTTGAAAAAGATAAAATGTTAAAAAGTTATAAAAAGTAAATTTTAGATTCATTAAACCTTTCTTTCTGAATTTTCAATAAATGTTAGCTATTATCATCCATTTGTAATAAAATTGTAAATAATTTTTTATGTAATAAATAGTTTATAATTTTATTTTTCATAAAATACTTCAAAATTTTATTAATTAACCACTAATATTTCACAATTTAAATATTAAAAAAGTTATATTTGGTGAACTTAAATATAAAAAAATTATAATTAATATATTGAAATTTATAATTTCAAAAATATCTTTATATTTAAATTTAAATACTATTCTTAATAAACATATTTGTGAATAATTTAGAAAATATATATTTTTAATTGTATGAAAACCACCCAATAATATAAATTTAATAATTATTTGTAATCTATGTGAAAGTAGTTGAATTTGTTTATAATTAAGTAAAGGGATGATACATCTTGATTAACCTAACTTCTACTAAAATTTTTAATATAAAGAATGGTGTTAGAATATATAATTAAATCATTATCACAACACATAATGGCACAATGACATAACATGATTATTCATATAACCTCATTTAATTGTAAACCCAACTTGGGGTTTTCTATGGTAGCAAAATAAATACAGATTAATTGAGAAAGCACATAAAAAAAATAGAAAAAAAATGAAAGAGAATGATACTAAATAGACAAGTAAGTATATCTACCTCACTTGAGACTTTATTTATTTGTTTTCTAAAATAAAAGATAGAAAGATGGTCCTATGGAAAGCTATCTTCCACCACACCATGGCAAAAGCATAAATGATTGATGATCATAGTAATTATTTATTCTATATTATTTTTAATTTTTTAATCTTTTACTAATTTTTTATCCTATCAAAATAAATGTTATAATCATAACAGTTATTCGTATAGATTGCGAGGGTGTAATGTTTTCTATTATATATCAATAATATATTTGTTAATGATAATATATATTCTATTAATTGATTAATCAATCAATCATATGAGGAGTTTATAGATTTATGTTGATAATAATTACAAAAAATCAAGTATTTTATGTGATTAGTTTTGGTATTGAAAAAAAAATAAAAATGAAAGTTGACAAATCAAAACCAAAAGCAGATGTTTGAAACTTACAAGTTTTTTTTTAAGATAAGATAACATGAATGTTAAGCGCATTAAAAAAAAAAAGATTACGGTGAAATTAGGTCAACGTTTTGATAATAAACTATATGTGAATGAAATTAGGTCAACATTTTATTAATAAATTATGTGAAAAATAGGTTAATATTTTACTAATGTCGTGAATACATATAACAATGATAAGAACATAAACATGATAAGAGATATTATAAATAATATTTATTGCATCTTATTTATAAAATAATTTAAAAATTGCTTTATGACAACTTTAGATGCTCCTATTATTTTTATTAATGTACTTCATATTTTATTTTTATTTTTTATAAAAAATGTAAGATAGTGCTATTTCTTATTTATATTGAATTGATAGTTTTTAATATAGTCTCACGTTTAAGAGCTTGAAACTATACCATTACATAAACGTTACTAATAAACGTTACTAAAAATAAGGTAAAAGATTTAGATATATAAAATAGTTAATTACAAAGTATATCCTGTCTTTACTGATTCGAGGGTCAGAGTATTTTTCTTAAAGATTCTTCATCCTTCATACGATATTGAGAATCAAGCACCGACCATTAATAAGTTCAAAAGGAAGAAAAAGAAGAAAATTGTATAAGAAAATAATAGATCATGTTCACCTTGCAAAAATATCGCCCATAGTCCTAACTATATAATAATCTTCAAAATTATCCTTATCATTAAGGATATGATTTTAGTTAAATGAGTTATTATTCTAAATTAAAGTGGATATGAATACCAACTTTAATGTATAAAATTATAATTAAAAATGATTTATAATTATATTTCAATCAATATTCTATTAAGATTGTTATCTAAGTAAATAATTTATTTATTATTATTTTATTTTTATTAATAAAGATAAAAAATATATATTTAAATTTTAGAGGAATAAAAATAATATAACAATTTGTAGGGGTGCGTATATAATATTTTAAGAATTTTATAAAGACGTAAAACTTATTTATTATGTTTTTTTAAAGAGGATATAAAAAATAGTTGAAATAAAAGTGACTGAAAAAAAATCTAAATAGTTATTTTACTTAATTATTTAAATTAACATTAAACTAATTGATTCTGTGAACAATAAATAACAGGTTCCCAGTTGCCACTTGACTCACTTAACAGTGAAGAGCCAATAGTTTGTGACGAGGTTGGAGGAGCGGAGATTATTGAAAGTAGTTTTTTTGAAGAGCAGATATTCATTGCAAGAAGAAATATATTTGAGAATTTAACAAAATAGCGTGTATTAAATAAATATAATAATTTAAAATTACTTGGAAGTGCAGTACGTAGAGAACTGTAAAAGTGGAACTGTAGAGAGGAAGCATATCCAATATCTTATCTCATCATCATCATCATCTTATACCCTTTATTCACAATCACTCAAATAAAAGCAACTACTGTCTTGAAAAAGAAAAGAGAAAGGAAGAGAGATTAAGGAGATATGGATGGGTTACAAATAGCTCTGCCTATTGTTGGAGTTGTTGCTGCTGCAGCTGTGACCTTCTATGCAGTGAGCTTTGCTGAGCTTAGAGAGGTAATTAATTGCTTTCACCTTTTCTCTGTCAACCCCATTTCGAATTCCAAGTTTTAATTTCATTTGCAATGTTAATTGGGACAGAAATCATTTAGAGATTTGGAAGAATCTGAATATGAAGATGGAGTTTATAGGCCATCCCCTAGCTCCCGGGAGAGGCGTGCCAGAAGACAAGCTAACAAAAATAACAAAAAATGAATTCATTAAGAATATGTTTAGATATAAGTAAGAAGTGATTTTGAGATTTTTTTTTTTTTTTTAATTAGAAACATGAATTTTGAACATGAAACACTCATCAAGTTATTGTAACTTTGTATCTAAACAAAGTCAAAATCAAAATCAAATCATCTATGCTTTTGCCAAGTTCATGGTGCGGTGGAATTGCTTTTAAGGGGACCGTTTTTCTTTCCAAATGAGATATATAATACATGTCTATTTATTTTGCTACCATAAGAAACTCCAAGTTTGGTTTCTGGTACAATGAGAGATGTTCAGCCAGTGAACGCGATGCGCTCTTATGTCATTTTGTGCGTGGTGGTAAGTGATGTAATTTTTTTTTTTTTTATATTGCAAACTTAGCAGGAGTTTAAGATGTACTTGTTAATAATATGCAGACTGCACAATAATAGTCTTCAGCGTTTTGATTTTAGGTGTTTAATGAACCAAAATTACGACAAAACTATTGCCACACGATTGAAACTATTGTTATATACACGTCGTATTTGAATGTGTAGGGTTTATTTATAAACTAATTTTACCCTGTAGAACATTCAAATTCAATTCGTTGATATTCAATTTAACTCATATTTGACTTTAGGTTAAATTATATAGATGAGTGAAATTCAAACTTGACAAGATTCACATTAAAAAAAATAATGAAAGGTTACTAATTTAATACAAAATGTACTTCATATATATTTTATTTTATCTTTATAATATTAATAAAAGGGATTAGTCTTTGTAATAGTTTATATATATATATATATATATATATATATATATATATATATAACTGTTGTTTAAACATTTTTTTTAATATCTACAATCCTTTTTATATATATATATATATATATATATATATATATATATATATATATATATATATATATATATATATTAAAGAGATTGTTCCAGTAGCCGTATTTTAACGGACACGTTATCTTCTTTTTTACTCATTATATAATCTAGTTTTTTACCTTTTTTTAAATTAATTTTATTTACAACTGTTCTTTTAATAAATAATATTTGTTCTTAATATAAAAATACAAGGTACAAACTAACATAGAATAACATTTATGTTTCCACTAATATTACATGCTTTTTTTTTTATCTCGTTTTCTTCTTTTATTTACATCATTTTAACAAATTTACAATTTAGTTCTGGTTAATAATCTTACAATATTTAATGATTAAAAGAAAGTAATAAAGTAAATAACATATTAAACAAAAGCAAATTAAAACTTAATGTTTACCAGCATCGATAACCAAGTACAATTTTAGCTCAGTTTGAACGTCATTTAAATTATATTGTACCGTGGACGTCCTACAGAAAAAACCTCCATAAAATTCGCAACGATCATAATATCCAATAGTTCACTACAGAATCGCAAATGCACTCAAATTCAAGGAATGATCACTTCGGGTATTTAGGAGGGTAAAAGCCTAGAAGATTAAAATCTAACGTGACTTCGGGTTCCAGCAATTAGTTACTCATCACTACAACTTATTTTTAATGGCAAAATGCACAAAACACCCTTCGTATCGACTTGTTGCTGTTGCTTTTCACAAACACACATCTGCACACATCTTTCCCTTTTGCACAATTTCCATCACCTTATTGCAGTCTAACTTAACTAGGTTTTCTACACTTCAACTATCGATGCTGCACCTCATAAATGAGAGGAAGGTCCTACACATGTTCAATGCGGGGGCCTGTGGCGATTATTATTCTAAATATAACTAGAATATAAAATAAGAAGCAACTAGGAAATCCATTTACTGACATTTACAATAAAGAAAAGGTTGGAACAAAGTTTGACAATACAGCATGTAAGTCCTTTTCACTCACAAGGGCGCAGCAGAGTTTATTATATCATCATCGTGCTAAGCTACTTGCGCTGAGACTTGAGCTCCTGTACCTTCTTTTCCGTTTCTTTCAAAGCTTTCCCATAAATATTGATTAACTGGGGCAAAATATTGAAATGCATATATAAATTTTCTAACAAAATTTTACATTGAAGTAGTGACTGCATTGTAGTATATGGTCCTCTTTAATTTTGATGAGTAGCAAAAACAGACCGAAAGGTAGTTTGTGAAGTTACCTCGTCAACTTCTCCTGGAGATATAATAAATGGTGGAGACATCATGATGTTATCCCCCGCTATACGAACTAACATTCCATGTTTCTCACATTGTGCTCCAAAATAGGCACCCACTCCTGTAGTCACAACCAAAAAATATGCTCAGATCCACATAAAAACAACAAGCATGTTTTATTGACATGAAATTATCACTGTTAATTTACAATAAATAAATAAAGTAGCCGAGATATAGACTATCCAATCCATCATAGGATCCAATAACGAATTTTAAACATGGAAAGAATGCAACCCCGTAATGTCCTGTGCAGATTGCTAAGTGTATTAGAGGATAGTCTTTTATTAGAATAAGTACGCTTCTTAAATTACAGTTAAGATCACTAGAAATTATAAAAAAGACATGTTGAGTCCAGTACGTTTAAATATAGGGACAGATGAAAAATGAGTATTGAACTTACCCCATTCAGGAGGAAACGGATCATTAGGTGACTTGTTGTCTACGAACTCAGTGCCCAGAATCAAGCCAGTTCCCCGTATCTGCAGATCCCGTAGCATAATGTTTGTCAAACATACATTATATCAACCACAAACATAAAATTACTCAGCAACCAAATAATATACACCTCTCCAATGATGGGACTATCAGAAAAAGCTTTTATGCCATCTTGGAACCTGGGGGCGATCTTGTTCACCTCGTCAACAATATTTCTTTCCCTGCAAAGAGGTATAATATAATCATACTCCATTGATAAAATATTACTATATAGCTTCATTGCAGTTTTTGGAAACTGAAACAAAAAGAACACACTTATAAATCTTGAGTGTTTCAATTGCAACAGCACAGGCTACGGGGTGTCCAGAATAAGTAAACCCATGAGAAAATGAACCTAAAATAAGCAAACGTGTCAGAATACTAAGCCTGAAGTTTTAGAGATGATTCTGATGAATAAATGAACCTCCATACCAAGTTTGTTACTTTGTGAGTGTATAACTTCTGAAACTTCTGGGCATACAAGGACAGCTCCAATGGGCAAATATGCAGAAGACAATGCCTAGAAGTCAAACAGAAAAATGAGAAACATGTACAAAATTCTAAAATATGAGAAGGACAATCTCTACTTAGAGCTTTTTCATGTTTACCTTGGCCAGGGATACAAGGTCCGGCTTAATATTGTACTTGTCACATCCAAACATTGTCCCAAGCCTTCCAAAGGCACATATTACCTTTAAAAGAGACATATAGCATAGTAATTAGAATGGAAAACTGCACAACAGAATACCCTATATAACAGTATACAAAGAATCATGGAAGTACCTCATCGGCAATAAAAAGAATGTCATACTTCTTGACAACAGCTTGGATCTGCATAAGAATTAATGCTATTATATTCTATCGGTAATGGACAATAGTGAAGAGCGACAATGACATCGATTAATGTCATGTGCTAAAAGAAAAACACTCATCTGATAATCTATATGTCAATCAGCAAAATGTATCTTTTGCAAAGTGCAAGAACTCTCTTTTTTTTTTTTCTCACTCTTGGCAACAATAATATTATAAGATGTACCTGGGCACTAAAAGAGTGGCTAGTTGTTCTTGTCGAAACTTTTGGTTTAGACAATGAAAAGGAAGAGCAAATGTCTATCAACAATGCGTTCTTAGGTTCAGTAATAAACACAAAAGATACAATAACCTAACACTTATTTATACTATTTATTTGGTGAAGTGTTAGTACTATGTTCAGATCCAATTGTAACGTATTGAGTCTCAAGTCTTACATTGGAAGTATGAAGATTATACCTGAAATGTGTAGTTCATAGGATTTGGTCTCTTAAGAGATGTACTTATTCTTGCACCCAAAAATATTCAACTCAAACCCCCTTTATTTCTCTTGATTACCCTTTCTAGAATTAAAGGGATGTGAATTGATTTGTTAGAGTATAGGATGTTGGTAACCTACAACAACAGCTTTTATGGTGTGGTTGTTACAAGCTTCTTATCATACTACAAGTACAAGTCCAAGCTCAGTACCAATAGGACAAACAACTACTATCATTTAAGACTTCCCTATATTTAATCTTAAACGAAGACACCATCTCATGACATGAAATAACATCTCTAGAAGATGTGAAGCAAATAGAAGGACAAAATACCTTTTCAAAATAACCAGATGGTGGAGGTATTACACCTCCTGCCCCCATTACAGGTTCGGCAATAAATGCAGCAATCTTGAAAATAAAAAAGCCATTAAGTCAGTGAAAAAATCAGTGATCCAGTAGTAGAAATCACTTTGCATGCACATGAATGCATTACTGTCTCTGGTCCCTCTTTCAGAATCAGCTGCTCTAAATTGTTGGCCAATCTGGTTGAAAATTCTTCCTCTGTCTCACCTGAAATGTTCATAAGCATGCATAGTATTTTATTATACCTTAAAATAAATGTTTAAAATATTACTAGAAACTTGTCCATCCAAATAGTAACCTGGAAGATGATACCGCCAGTAATGGGGACAGTCAGTATGCAATACGAAAGGTGCTGGCAAATCAAATTTCTGATGCAGAGCCGGAAGGCTGAAACACAATGTTGATTAATTGAATAAAGATTTTTTTTTATTAAACACAATGTTCTACCTAAGCACTAATTTACTGAAAAAAAAGGTCTTTTGAGTGCATCATACCCGGAAAGACTGGCTGCTATCAACGTGGAACCGTGATACCTGACAAAAGCAACAATACACAAGATATTATGCATACTTTTCAGCTGTACAAAGAAAACAGCATTGTTTGAGATGGTTATGAATACGATTTTGCACGAGCTATGAATTTCTTCTTATCTGGTCTTCCAAGCGCATTGTTATAATACCATACAAGTTTCACCTAAAATAAAACAAGCAAAAGGTGAAATATATCTAACAAATAAACTATGTATTCGAGCTATAAGTTGAAATGCATGTATAATATTTATCTTCATTTTCTATTATCCCCCACAAAAGACCAATCCATATTTAAGACACCACATTTGGCATTGAGAAAATATTTGATTTTGTCTTCAAGCGCTTGATTTGCTCGGAGATTTCCCCTCTTGGTAGTACCTGCCGTCGGCATTCTATGTAGTCCATAATAATGATTTTTAAGGTTTTTTTTTTTTTTTTTGCATGAGAAAGTAGCACATGCTAAATATCTACATTACAATTAAATTAAAAATTCTAAAGAAAATGAGACTCAAACAATGAAATAATAATCTATCAAACCTGAGTGTCATTGGCTTCTGATCCACTATTAACAAAAAAAGCTTTTGCCATTTTTCTGGCTGTGAACATTTCTTGGAGTTCCTTGGCTAGTTCCTGTATATGAAAATATTGAACCCTAACTATCATCTTTGAAACTTCAAAAAATGCAAAAAAGATTTTTACCCAAAATCTTTATTTTATCCTCCAAATCCTGCTATAAGAGAATTAATGAGTACCAGAGAAGGTATGGTGGTCCGATTCCAAAAGGAATGGTAAAATGGCAACTTCTTTAATTGTGTGATGGCAGCCTCAACAAGGCGTGGCTCATTTCCCCCTGGAAAATAAAATATATTTTATTTCAGATTAAAATACTTCCATGTACAAAAAAATTACAAACAAAACATTAACATTGTTTATAACTTAAATATGTGAATATATACCCTCACAATTTTAGTGAATATCTGTATACTTAACAGATCAAAGTTAATAAATTTTATATCATGATAGTAGTTAAAACAACTTCTATGACCTTACAGATCATTTGTTCCAATTAATAAACTCAAAATATATCTTTTCCAATCCCATAAAGTTTCATATCAAGGGCATTCTGCAAAAAATAGTCACAATGCTTCATCTCTTATAGAAAAAATTTCCAGATCAAATACAGAGAAGGAGATGCATCCCCAAGCAACCAGACATAATACGGTGGTTAGCTGATTAGAGAGCATGCTAAAATATCAATGAGTGAAATTTATAAGCATCAGTGCTTCCAAAATAGATTGAGAACATGAACCAAAGGAAATATAGCCTTCAGAAAAGCTTAGAAAAATAAATAACTGTAAAGGGGATGTTATACATACCTAAAGCAGTGGCCCATAGACCAGCAAGTGCATCAAGATATTTCTTCCCATTAGTGTCATATACATAGCTTCCCTGAATCCATTAATCAGGAAAATAACATAATAAAAAAAAAAGTTATTAAATCCTTATATTGAAAACAGATGGAATCGTGATTCCAAATTATACCACACGGTATAAATTAAAAATAAAATAAAATACAGAAACATTGCAAAAAAGGTTCACCTCTGACTTTTCTATAACGAGAGGATTCAGATCAGTAGTCTGCCACCCAGCCGTGAAAGGGGCAAGCATAGCGTGGCCTTTGAACCTGAGAAAATTGAAGTGTTTCAGCAGTTTTACTCACAGTGGCCATATAAAGTTCAAATTTTTAACTATAAACTAATTTTTCATTGTTTTGTTAAACAAAATAAAGAGCTCACATATATAACCACCAACTCAATCAAAACAAGAATCTAAAGAGAAAATAAAGGCATTAGGTAATGCATTCAACATATTCGAGATTGTATCAGAATCATAAACACTAACCCAGAGGGGTGTCCCAGTCACTCACTTCCTCCTCTTGATAATAAAAGTGTATGTCACAAATCGGCTTTAATTCAAATAGCTTGAAATCCCCACAAGAAAAAAAGAGTGACTAGTATTACATTAGCATCATGTTTTATTATAAAGAGCAATGAGTTCTATATTGAGTTCAAACACACTATACCAATTAAGATACATGCAAGACAGAGCTAGGATGAAAACACAAGCAACCAAATGAAAAAGTATTGACATGGAAGAACCATATACCCTGAACCACTTTTGACTTCATTAGTTGAATTATCCTCTGCCAAGGAAGACTCCGTGCTATTTGATCTAGACCGCAAGGGAACATGAAGGAGATTTTCCTGAACACTTCTGGAAACCGCAGCATATGCTAGAGATGCAACATTCTGTAGATAGAAAGCAAAATAAGCATCACAGGACAAATAAGAGTTCTGAGTAACAAACGGGACAATCCGTTTACACCAAATGAAATCGACAAATTAGCATACATAATAGATTACCATTAAGAATACAGAAACACAAACAGGCCGCCAACATTTCAGAATTCCAGACAACAGCCTTCAGAATATTACTAAATTGCTTGCGTTAAAAAGTACAAAAACGAAAATGCCATCTATAACCTAATCAGCTACTCTAAACGACCCGAATAAAGCCGCTCAAACCGTGAAATATTCTAAAACAGAAACAGCAAAGGGTGATTAAATTATAAAAAGCTGGCAAAAGTGACGAAATTGATTAGGCACCCAAAATATGCAACGAAACGGGACTTTGTAAAATACAAGCATCAACAATATAATTAATAATTTTTCATTTTCGTAAGCAAGGATCTTGTCCAGTTTCACAAATCTCCGTGGTCATTGATATTCAAGAACTGTAAAAGCAGTTTAGCTTTTGTCAAAATCGCACGTCCTAAATCCTATAGCATAAAACAAGTAAACAAGAACAATGAACGACTCAGAGCGGCAAGAGACAGGATATGTTTCATCAATCGTCGATCTAATCCATAAGCGTAAGTCAAATTTCCAAATCAGAACTCTGGAAACTAGATAGGGAAAACATAACGTGGAAAACGAGTGAGGGAAACAGGAGCAGATTCAAGCAACAACAACAATTAAGAGAAAATAAATAACCAGTGCCTTAGTCCTGAGCGTGGATCGGAGGAGCGTGTTCATGGTGACTGAATAGGTTGTGCTCTATCAGCACCGGGAGTTTGGGGAATGTTCAAAACGAGAGAGACAGTAGAAGAAATAATATGATCCAAGATCTGTGGCACGCGCTAAGCATGACACTCGCACGCACAAGCGAAACGTTTAACTCTTTTTGTTGGCTCCCACTGAACCAAAATAGAGAGAGGACGACGTTGATTTTAATTTAAGCGGATCAGTATTTTATTTTTGTCTGATTTTCATTCGTTCATGGTAATGATGGGTAAATGATTAATTTAATCACAACGATGACACCGTTACGTAGTAGTCCTTCTAACTTTCTAATTAGGTCCTCGGGTGAACGTGGACAACTGATGCAACCTCTGTGCATGCCTGGGACCTACTTTTTTAACCTCTTTTGGGCGCATGCCTACTTTTTGTCCGGATACTGAATCACTATTTTTTTTTTCTATTTCTCTTTTTTTATATATAAAACTAATTCATTTTAAGAATCTACAGATATTAAAACAAAAATCTCAAAATTCAAATAATGTTTATAAAAATACATAAATGAAAAAAATTATCCTTTTTTAATATCATTGACTCATTAAAAAGAAAAAAATTAAAACAAATATAATTGTTATAATTTATATATTTAAAAAATAATAATAATTTTGATAAATTAATAAAAATATGAGCACATAGAGTTATATTTTCAATAATGATCTATTAAAATAAATTTATATAATAATAATAATAATAATAATAATAATAATTAAACTTCATAATAATCTAGATTCACTAGAGAACCCAAAAATTTACTCTCAAAAATATTTAGACGAGTATGAAAAATAAATGAATTAATACATAAATTAATTTGTTAAAGAGTATGTTTAATTTGTACATAAATTAATTTTATTTTATTTTATTTTTTCTCTACAAATCTAAAAAAATATTGTCTATATATTCTCTAAGAATTAAAGAAAGGATAAGAGTATGACGTGTCCGTTACTTTATATAATTGATCCAAAAATAAACATTTTATTAACATCCTTAACGGTCTGTTATTTTAATTTAATTATTAACTTTGAATTTAAGTTTTGAATATATAATTTAATTAAAAATTTAAGAGAAAGAGAGAAAGCATCGTTTATAGTAGTACTCAGTTTGAAAACATTTACTTTTCATAAAGAATATATTATTTCAAAAACAATATTAAAATTTTAAATAAATAAACATTCAATTTTTTCGTTATTTTGTATACTATTATTATCTTTAGAGGTTTTGTTAACTAACTGTAAATTTGGAAGTAAAAAATGGGTGAAATGTTTGAAAAACTTAATTTTCATAATTGTCATAGTTTATAAAAAAATAAAAAAAATACAAATTATAATTTCCAAACTGTATTTCTTTTAACATAGATTTAAATAAGTTATTTAGCGAAAAAACAGTTAATTTACATTATGATATATATATATATATATATATATATATATATATATATATATATATATATATATATATATATATATATATATATATATATAAGAGAAAGAGAGTAAGAAAAAGAGAGGAGAGTGCGTGTGAGTGTACGAGTATATATGTAATTTTATTTTAGTCAAACAATATTTTGTATTTAAATTTTAATATTTTATCTTTTTTTACATTTTTTCGAGTTTTTATCTAAATATAATAATAAAAAGTGAAGAATGAAAAAAGAATTAAGATTAAATTATTTAAAGGAGATTAGAGAAAGTAAATAAATAAAAAATAACATATTATTATTTAGTGGATGACAGAGTATTATGATAATGTAATAAAAAATAAAAGTATGGTTATTTAGTGACGTTGATTTATGACACTAATGCTAGTGGACAAGGTTGACTGGCCCCGCTTTGTTGATTTATATAAGATATTCATATGAATCGATCCATATAAAGTATTTTTTAAGAATTTCATATAAAGTATTTTTTAAGAATCTTTTTAGATCACATACTAACTGTAACTGCTGCAGTGTTATCGGTGTCATTATACATGTATAATGACTTTTGTAATTATTTTTTTATATAAAAATGTGATTTAAGATTCGTTATAACTGTTTTTTGATATAAGAAAGAAAAAAATAAAAACATTATAGTTTAAAAAAATAAATATTATAAATTATATATTTAAAAAGTAATACAAAATTGTGAAAGAAAAATAAATATAAAAACAAAAATAAAATAATATTTAAAATTAATTATAAACAAAATATGACCACATAAACGTTAAAGCGCCTGTATTTATATATTTTAAGAATATCTTCAATTATGCTTTTTATATTTTTAAAAACTGTTCTTAACATGAATGTTTTTATGCAGTATAAGGTTCTTAAAAAGTATTATATAGAAAAATAAAAATATTTAAATAATGAATAATAATTTTATATGTGGGACCTATTTTATGACTTATGAGTCTTATAAATTTAGTGGAGAAATAATGTACAAAGGAGATTTTACGGAGGAAATTTTCCTCACTAAAAAAAATGAATAGTAACATTAATTAATTTTTTAATAATAATAATAATTTTATTTTATTTTTACATTTATCAAAAGATCGATTTAATCTTTCCAGTCATTAACATGCAAGGCTTAATGGGCCTAACAACATGTAACGGAAGAGGAATCGTGACAAGGTAGCAAGATATCATTATTTGTCATTAACCTTTGTCGTCTTTTGATACAGTTGTATGACGTAAGGACTTACGTCATGAGAAGCTCCTCGAAATCTTCAAGAGCAAAATAGTCTTTGTATGGCTAATGACGTAAGAGATTACGCCATTAGGAGTTCTTCGAAATCTTTAAGGGTAAAGTCGTATTTATCAGAAAGACTCATTGGTTGTGGAGAGGCGGGATTTGTACAGTTCTACCGTACATAAGAAGCTTTGTCAAGTTTCACCCAAAGACTGATGGTGGTGGTTTCGGCTAATAGCTCCTTAATTTCATTTTCTTCCTCAAATTGATCATACCTCGTTGTAGTGAAAAAAGGGTTATCATGATCAATTTTTTGGAGTCTTTCACTGAAGAAAATATCCAGAAACAAGTGATGTTTAGCTGGATAGTATACCCCTTTTATGTTATAGGGGTGTGTAGAGAATATTTCAATGAAATATTCCTCAGTGTATATGTTTCGAAAGAACGCATTTATCCAGTAATTTATCTTGGTACCGAAAAATGATTCTATCATCGAGTTTCTAAAAATAATCATCCTTTTCATGAATCCTGGAAATAATATATCTTCAGTTAATTTTTTGTTAATCCAAACAGGATCACATCCCACCATGTAGGGGTTTGTTATGCGAATTTGTCTTTCTATTATCCTGTAATTTTTTTCATTGTTTTACTAAAGTTCAAAAGAAAATTATTTTTTTAAAAGTACGGTAAAATAAATAAATAAATTAATTTAATTATGTAACTTAAATTAATATAAACTAATTTATTGTTAATATATAATACAAGGAGTTATCTTTTAAAATTAATGATAAAATGAAAGATAACTATATATAACAAAAATTATATCCTCTCCTAATTTTTTTTACTATTAATAAAGAGATTAGATCTTTTATAAATTAAGATTAATATCTCTTTATTTTTAATTTATAAAAATATACGGAGATTATAAATTTTAAAATCTAAAATAATTTTTTGAAATTGAATTAAATAGGCATCTACTAAATAAATTATAATGAATTTTAAATAATAATAGAGATTAATTCTAAATTTGATTTGAGTTTTTCATATATATATATATATATATATATATATATATATTAATTATAAATTAAATTGATTTTATTTTTTAAGTGTGTTTTGATTCGATTTGATTTTAATTTTTAAAATAAAGTCTTGTAGCAAATTTATATTTGTTTAATATATTTAAGTTAGTGTTAAAATCGTTTAAATATTGTTCAGTATTTTTAAATTCTCCTTATACATGGGAGGCAATGTTGATGGTTATGTAATTTAATTAGGTGGAAAATGAAACCTAAAAGTTGTATGCATAACTGGTTCATTTATTTTAGATTGACTCGATGCTTTCCAATTTGACTTTTTTTTTTCATAAATAATATTATTTTAAAAAATATTTCCTAAAATAGCATATCTAAAACATTATTTACCTAACTAGCACTTTTTCCTATTTACGAAATTTTCGCTCAAGCGAGAAATGCATCGCTTGAGCGAGGAGACCTGGAACTAACGAGTATTGTGGGGTTTAATTTCGCTCAAGCGATATAATTCTCGCTTGAACGAGAAATCCTTCCCTTGAACGAGGAGACCTGAAACTAATGGGTAATCTCGGGTGTTTTTTCGCTCAAGCGATGAATAATTTCGCTTGAACGAGAAGTGATTGAAATATGTGATGAACCAAGTTGCATTATGTGGCTAATTGTGTTGGACCTTTAGCCTGTGGTCAATTCTCACTCAAGCGATGGGTAATTTCGCTCGAGCGAGAAGTAATTAGCTAACTACGTTGGACCTTTAGCCTGTGGTCAATTCTCGCTCAAGCGAAAAATCCATCACTTGAGCAAGGAAATTTATAATCGATTATAATTTAACTAATCGATCATAATTTTAAAATAATCGAATGTTTAAAATTATGATCGATTATTTCTCTCTCGCTCAAACGAGAAATCCATCGCTTGAGCAGGAGTTCTAAAACTAATGGGTAATCTCGGGTCAATTATTGCTCAAGCGATGAGTAATTTCGTTCGAGCGAGAAGTGATTGGCTAACTGCGTTGGACCTTTAGCTCGTGGTCAATTCTTGCTCAAGTGACGAATCTATCGCTTGAGCGAGAAAATTTATAATCGATTATAATTTATACTAATCGATCATAATTTTAAAATAATCAAATATATAAAATTATGATCGATTATTTTTCTCTCGCTCCAGCGAGAAATCCATCGCTTGAGCGAGGTGACCTGAAACTAATGGGTAATCTTGGGTGTTTTTTCGCTCAACCGATGAGTAATTTCGCTCGAGCGAGAAG